GCATCGTTTTAATGTCGGCGGAAGGCTGTCCCAAGAGAGGACGAGCTGTGGCTTAGGTGAAACGGTTAAACTTCTGGTACCTCTACGCGAGCCCATCTCCTGCCCGGAGGTTGTCACGCTTCCCTTCTCTTTATAGGAAGAGTATATTGAAGGGAGGGAAGGAAGGACGCGGGAGAATCGGGATCGTTTGTAGGTGAAGCGTCGGACTGGGAGAGGAGAGAAGGGTTAAAATGTTTTTGAAACGTAAAAAGAATCCTTTGTGGGCAAACTTAAAGCTGCTGGGCTGCACGGCCTTGCAGTAAATTGAGGGCCTGTTTTGCCTTTATTTATTCATTTTTTATTTATTTAGTTTGTCACTTATGTACAAGATAACAGGAATAACAATAGACAGGAATAAGAACACAGGAAAGTGTGTAGCTTTCTCTGGATGCGGAATTAAGTACACAAGAATTTGTTAAATGTCTATGGAGATTCTCAGTCATCCAGGTCATGGTTCTCCGAAAGGTGCTTTGTCAAGAGAGAACTTTCTGGTTTTTCTTTGAAGATGTTTTCGCTTTTCATCCAAGAAGCTTCTTCAGCTCTGATCTTCCATTCCCCACCATCCAGTCAGAGCTGAAGAAGCTTCTTGGATGAGAAGCTAAACTTTTTCAAAGAAAAACCAGGAAGTCCAGTTGCCTCTTGGGAAAAAAAAGCACCTTTGGGACAAGAATTTGTTACTGTATTGGTTTATGCCAGAGTAAGAAGTGTCTTTTTCATTTGCCTCATTTCTTCACTGGGTAAGGACTTGAGGGGAAAGCAAAACAAAGATCATTAAGGGAGAAAAGGGAAAGACTAAGAAATCAGTCCTGTGTCCTCTTCTGAGATTTTCAGACTAGCAAGTAATATCATATAGTGCTTCACCCTGTATAAAAGCTGTCAGTATGACCTGGGATGAGATCCTGCTGATTTTGAATATTTAATAGACACACATTTTTCCTTGGTATAAAATCCTTGGTATATTTACTTCATTCAACAAGTTTTTAAAAATCATCCAAAGTTTTTGTTTTTAATACATCAAATGGTCGAAGTGGACAACATCTATTGAAGTTAGCAGATTTAATGACAAAACAAAAATCCAGTATTGCATCAATGAATGATTGAAAAATGAAGTCAATTTTACAATGGCCCAAATAACTTGTCTGCCATCAATGACCATTTGTAATTACAATGTTCATGAAAAAGTAAAATTGCAATCTGTCCTCACATTTATGACTTTATAGGTCTGTAAAGCAAAGTAAAACTGAAGATCATAAGCATAGTTGTGGTTTCACTAAATGATTGCTTAATGATCATTTTCCCAGTTCCAATTGTGGTTGCTAAACAAGGAGTATTTGACTAGGATTCCAGATAATTTGGGATTGCCCTTATTTTTGTTTACTCCTCACATATAAGGAACAAATCTTTACAGACCTATGTAAAAGATTAAACCATATTTAATCAGGATTCAACAGCTACTGATACTAATGTAATAAAGTTAAATATATTTTTATACGTTAATGGAATTCTGTGTTGACATGCTCAAGATATGCCTTTGCTTAATCCCAGCAGAACAAGCAAAATGGTGTAAAAACACAAAATCACAGAAAACAGCCCATGACATACCCATTTCTGGAGGGGAAAAAAACCTACTGGGGTGGAATGATTATATTTTTAATTCAAATAAGTTAATATTTTGGAACATTATTTGAATATGTTATCCAATTTACATAATTGAAACTTTCTGACATCTAGGAAATAAAGTATACTACTATGTAGATAATTCCTGATGTTTGAAAAAATATAAAACATGTAGAAAGCTAAATACATCTGGTACAATAGAACACTTTTACAAATCTAGTCCACTTTTCCCTGTGGAATTTATTTTTCATGTTACACATCATCTATGCCATACACATTCATTTCCTTGTTTTATCTCCTAAAGCAAACTCAAGGACTGTTTCAACCTGTACAGCCTCCCCAGTTCCTGATTACTATGTAGTTCGATGAAAGGTACAAGTTAAAAGCTGAAGTTTTATAACAAAAATCCCATGTAATTAAGCATCTATTTCCTACAATGCCAAAATATCCTTCAGCATAATTAAATATTCCTTATCATATAATCCACAGGTAGTATGGATATATAGGGCTTCTGATATTATAAATAATACTTTACCATACAGGTAATTTTCAACATATGACAAGGAGCCAAACAAAACTTACAACCTGGATTTGATATTTTAACAGCCGGGCTCACTCTGCAGACATAGGATTGCATTTTGGGCACTCGGTAACCAGCCTGCATTTATGGCCATTTGCAGCATTCCATATGACCGCAATCTATATTTGTTTGTTGGAAACCAACATTTACTTATGTTTTCTGGAGAGGGGGGAGGCCCCTTACAGGCAATGAGTTCCTTTAATGGGTGGTTTTGCGTAATGACCTCTGCAAAAATCATAAAATTGGGGCATTGTCACATGGTGACCTGCTCAATGAGTAGTACAACTTAGGACCATAATTCCAGGCTCAATTATAGTAGTAAGATAATGGCTTTCTCTAATGATTAATAACTGAATATCTTGAGTGAAGAGGTCTAATTTAAAAAATAAGCACTATTTATTATAGCACATAAAGTACTACATTTCCACATTATTAGTCTGATTAGAAACTCGAATTATGCCTTTATTTCTAAGGATAAATTATATTCTGGAATATAGATCTTGCAGTCAAATAAATGCAGTCCTATGTTAATTATAATAGTAACTGAATCTTATAATGAAACATCATTCAGGTCAACAAGACTAAACCTTTCCAGGACTATGCCTATGCATATTTAAGATTGAACTGTATTTTTGGATGATAATGCTACCAAATTCTTCAATGACATGAAGTATTAAACAATGCCAGGTCTGTTATAATTCCTTAGATATTCTGTTTTCAAGCGTTCATATAATAATTGATCCGTTTTTATTACAGTGCTTATTACTTTATTTTTATGCCCCGTGATCACATCTGGCCGTTTGGTTGTCCTGCCCAATCTGCAGTGGCAGCAGGGGACAGAAGAATGGGAGCAGAGACCTGCAGTGTGAGCCCTATATAGCAGTGCCAGTTTGTCTCTCTTTTTTTTCATCAATTTTTATTAGTTTTTCAGGATATAAAACAAAGGAAATGGGGGGAAAATGGGGAATTAGAGAAAAAAAGGGAAGAGGAGAAAATGTAGAGTAAAGGTGAGGGGGAAAGAAAGAAAAGTATTGACTTCTGACACTTTTTAGCATAGTAGAATAAGATAACATACAGCTTCAATACTTTACTCTTACAGAATAATATTTATATATTATATGTGTATGTATGTATGTATGTATGTGTATGTATATGTCATTTCTATAACAAATAGTCCCAGTTTTTCATGTGGCTCCTTGTGAAAATTAAATGCCCTTGTATAAATTAAGTTACATGTTAATCTGTGCAGCTATACAATAAGCTATATTCTTAGGTTCAAATTAAATTGAATTTCTAGAAGTTCTGAGTAAACATGCATAAGATTGTAAGTAGAGTATAACAATTTATAGTTCTGTTAAATTGTTATTTGAATATTGTAAACTATATGTTAAACTCTGACAAAATTGTA